AGGGAACAAAAATCTCATCCTAGGTCCACTGGCGAGGTCAAGATGGAAACTTATATAGGCCATCTTGTGGCTATTCTGCTCCCCAAACTCATATTATTCTCATTAGACACCTTCAGAGCTTCAGAGCAGATGAGTTTGCCCAAGTTTTAGCTTCCTGACTCTAACTCAGGTTGGCAACAAGGTGGAAACCAATCTCCAGGCAGCATCTTCAGACTTCTCCTCTGTCCTCTGCTGGCCACATCTTGCTTATTTACTTTGGTTTCCTAGAAGTCATTGCCAAAACTAGAGCTAAAGCTACCTGACCTGTTTGGCTGGCATTAGTGGACAAGAGTTTGCTGAAATGAACTATGACATTTCTAAAAATTGAGTTATTTGTAATATTAATCTTAGTTTTGTTTTCATCCCCACCTGAACCCCCATCTTTCTGAGATTTTTTTTTTTTTTAGCTAGAAGGGAGAGATGTGCCCATCCCATACGACAGTGTTTTTTGCAAAAAATGTACAGGAAGCCTTTCTTGGTTCTGCTAAACAGGAAGCAGAACCTGAAGCAACTACTGCAGTTTTAACTGTCCTCAAAAGACTTTTTAATCAAATAGAGTCAGGGTGGGGGCAATTACTTCTTAATGACTTGTCATCGGTTTAACATGATATTGCATATAAAGTGCTTAACATTTCCCTGGCATGAGATAAATTTAAGTAACTAGTTCCTATTATTACATTATTAAGAAAGATGAAAAGAAAGCACACAACAGAAATATACCTGATTAAAAATATATTTTAAAGGGGAAGAAAATTAATTATAGAAGAATAAACATGAACATTTGCTGAGTATGTGTTGTGTTCCAGAAGTTGTTCTAAGTACTTTTTTATTTAAAGATTTATTTATGCATACAAGAACTGGGGTACAGGCTCCAGGTGCAGGGGTGAGAAAATTCACCAGAAACAGAGTGGGGAACAGAACAGGCAGACTAACTGAGGGGAGCAGTGGGCAAGACAGGAGAGGTCTGCGGTGCCTTGTGGGTCAGCTCCCTGACCAGGGATCGAACTTATACTGCAGTGGCTATAGATAGCTTCATAGTG